CCTTCTGTTTATTCTCGCGGTGGATTCAGCAACATGTAGTTCATGTAGTTCTCCATGTCCAATTGTTGCTGATGGTTGTGGTAGAGGAGCTGTAGATTTTGCACTAACATCTGTAGCATGGTCAGTAGCAGTAGCAGTACCCTGTAAAAGGTAGATACAATTATAATAAATATTGTGTCATATAAGGGAGATACCGTTGTTTTACTGACAATTTCTAAGGGGAAATAATTGATTGGAAGAAAATATATATTTGTATTGCAAAAATGAGTTTCTAAATTATTGTATTATTGCCAGACAAAAGAAAATGTTTTATCAGAAGTGGATTTATTTATGTTTTGCCTTTCGATTAATAATTAAAAGATACATTATGAATGTAAAGAAGAAATCTAAACAAGTCATCTCAACTGTGAGTAAAACTAATGCAATAAAAACGTTTTAGAAAGGTCTGTTAAAAAGCAGTCGAAGGGTCTTATGGAAACAAAGGAAGGAATTCAAGCCAATTCTGTTTGTATAATCAGTTTATTAAATGTCTCTCTGCAGGTTTGAGTGACAAACAGCTGCTGCAGCCCGCTGAGGACTCTCTGGATCTGATCGGTGACCGAGAGCTGCAGCGGAGTCTGAGCAGGTCAGTGATTATTAACATGCTTTACATGGGCTAATTTGAATTTTAAAAGACAAGCAGAAAGGATAATCCAACTCAAAGTCAACTTTCAGTTTGTGTGTACACACAGAGAGATCGAAATACCGTTTCCCACAATCCCGAATACAAAAACAAGTATATATAAAATATGTATGCAAATCTGTATATCCTATATATATATATATATATACACACACAATCAACAGGCACATTTATACATATGCAGTGCACATATTAAGACGTAAATAAAAGCACAACAATCAATATATACAAAATAACAGTCACTTAAACTCCCCTGCACTTCAGTGTTTGCTGGTTTTGTGAATTAAGTCTGCAGTGTGTCTGTTTTCACAGCGTCAGGTCAAAGAGAAACAGGCGAGGCCCAGTCATCGAGGCGGACGGGATGCTGAAGATGTTCCACTGTCCGTACGAAGGCTGCAGTCAAGTCTACGTAGCTATCAGCAGCTTTCAGGTAACAATACAAATCACTGTGAAGGTCCAGGATTTTTGGGTCAGGGATATTCAGACTCTGGGAGAAATATTGAGCTATAAGATTCCCTGTGAGCCCAGGGTTATGTACCTGGGCTTGATTCAGGATAGTATAATTGGAAAGGAGGACTCTTGATACTAGCGGGTAAAAAGGCCATCACACGGAACTGGTTAAAATGTGACTGGGTCAATGGCTGGACATTGTTGAAGAAATATTTACTATGGAAAGACTGACCTGCTGTCTAAGGACTAAAGCAGAGATCTGTGAACAACGCTGGGAAAAATGGATAGTGTACAAGGAAAAAGAAAGACTGTTTTTTTGCCACAGTGACGCGTCCTAAAACCCGGAAGTAAGTTAGCATGTTACCACTTCCGGTTCCTTCGCCAAAAACCAATGGGATCTCTCCATAGGATTTTGGAAAATAGCTGGAAATAAGGTCTGTGGTTGAGACACATTGAAGAGACGGATCACGTTTTGTTCTAGGACATTAAATACATCAGCAGTGACCCCACTGGGGATTTCTGAAGAGTTGACGTGTCTGAAAAACGATGGTTGTTACCAAGTGGCTGAATAGGGCTACAGAAGTTGTCGAGGCCGTTTTACGTCATTACACCGAACACGTAAACACTCCCGCTAAGTTTGTTTTTCCCCCTACTCTGCTTGAAAGCAAGTACCTGCCTCCTGCAAACTGTTCAAACAAACGCTTCAACTTGGACCATTTAGAATCTGTAATTTTGAATATCTTAAGTTGGCGTGACGTTGAAGCAGCGACTCGGCTGTAGTTAGTTTATAGCATAACGTTAGCATTTTGCTTCTGGCGACTTGATTTACGATTTAGAAAATTATAAAAGTAGGGTAGACATGTGGAGATTATCCGACTGAACAAAACGTGATCCGTCTCTTAAATGCGTCTCAACCACAGACCTTATTTCCAGCTATTTTCCAAAATCCTATGGAGAAATTGCATTGCTTTTTTGTCGAAAGAACCGGAAGGAGTTTACTTCCGGGTTTTAGGACGCGTCACTTTGGCACTCTATTGTAGTTGTGTGTGTTATATATTTGTCGAATGAAAAATAAAGAGTTTAATTAAAAAAATTAATTAAAAAAAATCACATTTATGCAATACATTTCAGTTGTTTGGGCTTTTTAAAATAACCATCTATTTGGTCCACTTCCCTTTTTGTCTGTAGAATCACGTGAACCTAGTCCACAGGAAAGGGAGGACCAAGGTCTGTCCTCATCCAGGCTGCGGGAAAAAGTTTTACCTGTCCAATCACCTGCATCGACACATGATCATCCACTCAGGTACATTCACAGAGAAACACTTATCATGTAAGAATATCAACTCCATAAACCGTTAACATGTAACTGAATGTTCCTACAGGAGTCAGAGATTTCATCTGTGAGACGTGCGGGAAATCGTTTAAGCGTAAGAATCACCTGGAGGTCCACAGGAGGACTCACACAGGAGAAACACCGCTACAGTAAGTCACTAAAGCTGGACATTTGGACCGCGTTTTAGGGCCATTGTTGGTTAAAATCAATAAGTAAGAACCCACGTAATATCTAAAAAAAAGATTCAGAATTTCCAAAATAACTTTCGTAATTTAAACCAATAAAAAACAAACTGAAAGCTGAAATGCAAAAATAAATCAAACGAAATAATATAAAACTGCTTTTCCTCAAATATCCACTTGAGACTGGCTCCAAAGAGAATCAATCCCCCTAGCCCCCCATAATTAAATGCCACATTTCAATGCAGAAGTAAACAGTTACAGTCTGGTACAGAAACTGGTTTTGCTCTCTAAAGCTAATTTCCCTATTCATGGCGGCTGTACCGGGAAATATTTTCATATAACTCACTGGTTTAAATTACATGAAGGCTTAAAGTCATGCATGGTTCAGAGCGTGACTGCTTGTAGTTGAAAAAATGCCACAAGTTGCAGGGTTGACAAACAAGAGAAATAATTATGTTATTAATTTTAAACTCAAAATCTACCTTATTTAAAAGACTTTAACAGTTTGGTTAATGCTGCTTTTCTGTGTTGAATAAACCCAATGCTCACTCTCTATTCCTGAATTTGACTGGAGTCACCATGCTATAAGGAAGGTTTTTATTTATTGAAACTACTGGCTGCCTCTTTCCCCACTGGGTTGAATAGACAGGTGGATATTTGTATACCATGCAAACATCCTATGATTTCAATCTAAGCTGTGACTCATTATACTGTGCTGTGCATGCACGTGTATGTATCATGTATTATATGTCTAATCTTCTTACCTACAATGGCACTATTTGCCTCTGTAGAAAACAGATCTTATTTTAATCCAGTTCAGCAGTGAGCAGGTTTGAATGAAAGACACGTTTGTGACACTAATATTGACCTACAAATCTGGAACCAGGATCATCCTATCACTTTTCTTCTTTCTTACCTGTTCCTTCTTGTCTTCTCACCCACGTCATACGTTAGATGTGAAATCTGTGGGTACCAGTGTCGTCAGCGAGCGTCTCTGAACTGGCACATGAAGAAGCACACTTCAGAGGCTCACTACAACTTCACCTGCGAGTTCTGCGAGAAGAGGTTCGAGAAACTGGACAGTGTTAAATTTCACAAACTAAAGAGCCACCCGGACAAACTGGCAACGTGAAGTGTTCAGAAACCTGATGATGGGACTTGTACAGAACGGCCGTCAAAAAACAAAGGAAGACTTCCAGTAAAGAGACTTTGCTTTGCTGTGTTTTTCTGGCCTCTCATGTTCAGGATAATATGAGTATCCACTGAAAAACACACAAGAAGTGGATAAAGTGGGCCTAACAGCTATGCAGGACACAAGCTAATTCAGAGTAGGCCTATAGGGCCAAAACAGGGGTTCTGAACATGTTTCGTACATTAACAGCTCAATCATACTTTTTTAATCATTTTATAAACCATTACAAGACAAAAATCAAGAGTACAAATGTAATAAATGGCTGATACAGGGTGTTTGACATCAGACATCAGCTTCCAACTTTAGCATGGTCGGCTAACTAGCTTACTACCTGAAATAGTAATCCATTGTTACTTCAAATAGCAGCTGTATCTACTATTATTGTAAGTTGTTGTTAAAAAAAAGAGCCTGTTCACAGCTAGCACATCCACAGTGCAGTATTTCCCCACTGTGTGGGAGCCAGTCCAAGATGCTACTGTAGCTAGGCTAACGTTAGCTCCTTGACCCTGGTTCTTCTTGGAAGCTAACTTGTTATGCCTGAAAGAGTTTTGTTAACTAAATACATTGGTTACTTCTCATCCTAAAAGCCTTTTTATTTCAATGCTCAAAGTCAAATTTAAGAAATATTTTAATCATCATAAATCCAATCACTGTTTTGCTTGTTAGCTTAGCAGCTAACGCTTAATAATCAATGTTCAATAATAATTAAAATACTAGGACTTAAGAATAGAAAAATGCTGTTTCTTTATTTCTATGTAATATTGCTAAATATTATACTTTAACTGGTTTCTTATTTTCATAACGAGTCAGTTTAAAACATGAAATAGTCGATTGAAGATGGTGTTTCTTTAGCTAGCTTATGTAGCTAACGTTAGCTTGATTAGCTAGCTAGCTAGCTATATCTGATCAAATCTTTCAGTGGCAGCAATAATTTCCGCTGGTTTAATTTGCTGTTGATGGCTAGAAGTGGGAATCATCCTTTATTTTACCTCTGAATGAAATATAGGCCTACAGGCCATTGTTTTGAAAAATGAAAAGAATCTTGAGTTGGGATTTGGATACCATTTTATATCTATTAATTTGAAAGTGCTCTGATTTGAAGATTAATACCTCCAAGAAAGATTATTGATAACATTTCAGTTGAATGGATTATTTTTGTAATATTCTTGAAATTAAGGCTGTGAAATTAAATTAATGAGGTTTGAGTGTTGTTGTGTGTTGCACTAGGCTACTCGTACTGGCATGTGTAGGATCTTCCATTTTTGTCAAAAATGTTGTTTTGTGAGCTAAAGGCAAATACTTTGCCTTAAATTTTCCCTCTCAATCTTTTTTCATTGTCCCATTGACAGTTCCTCAGGAAAACTCACCTCAGTCCTCTTTTGTCCTGTCTGTACTTTAGTTTCCAAAGCACTTTTTGTTAACTGATGAATCACTAAAATGTGCCAATATGACCCATACGTGACGTATTTCTTTGGAACACATTTGTTTGACACATGGTTAATAATATGCAGCGTGTTGTCGCCTCTTGCATTACGCTTTCAAGGGTGGGTGTTTGTGTGTGCCAAGTGCGGGTGCATAAATATTCAGAAAAGGCATGAAGATCACAAGTGACATGACTTTAGCATGGGGGAACAAGTATGTAACGCCAGAAGAGAACAAATATGTGTCAGGACTAAGAAAGACATATTTATTAATATAAAATGCATTTCAAATAGAAATTTTAATATGTGATGATGCATTTCTATTTATTAATGTACCTTTTTATATAGGCCCTTTCCCAGCTATTCTTCTCAAAACTGTCATGTCTCCTTTAAAATGCAGTGACTAATCGTCAGTATTCTTCTGCTGTAAATCATCTATCCTCCATTATTTTGCAGTTGAGTTAGTAATTCCCACCTGTCACTCTCTCCATTCTCTTTTATCTCGGCTTAAAATGATTATGATGTTCAGATAAAGGAAAATGTCAGACTGCACAATGTTTAAAATGTGAGGCCAAAGTCTGAGGAGCACTCATGTAGAAAAACCCAGAGCTGGAGACACCTGACAGCCGAGGGGAGAAATGACATTTTCATTTCATTTAATCGTTTATTTGAACAGGGACAATGCACATTGATGAACACTTTAAAGGTCCCATGTCATGACCATTTCTACTGATCATATTTCCATCTACTAGAATAGATTTTAATTGTGCAATTTTCCAAAATCACATTGGTTTCACAAACAGCATTTCTGTTTAGTATGTGTAGGCTATTCACTCTGTCCTAAACGGGTTGTTGGAGCTCCTGCCCCTCCCCTCCCTGTGAGCCTAGCGTGCTCTGATTGGTCGGGACGTTGCGAGGCTCGTTGCTACTCGTTGCTGCTCGCCGCTGCTGCGAGAAGCAGACAGGTTTCCGGGTCGGCGATACAGCGAGAACAAGCGAAACTCATCCTGAGCACACAAACACTCACAGCCGAAGTAAAAACAATAAGTGTGGTTTGATATTGAGTAAGAAAAAGGTTTATAACGCTGTGAGAATGGGTCTGCTGAGGAGAGCATTTCTCCACCATCCCAACTCGTCTTTTACCAGCGTCCAGGGAGCTCTATGCAAGTCAAAGGGACTCCCTGTTAGTTAGCCAAGGGATCCTGGTGTGTGAGGAGCTCTGTGGATTGGTCCATTTGGGCCAATCCGGTCATTTGTTGTTGATCTGGGTGTTCACACGTCACAGTACCCAGGAAGCTAACAATGGAAACAGAGAAATGTCCAACGAGGCGTTCTGGGGCAGCATAGACAGCAGAGTCTTGCACGGGTTCTGATTTTCAAGACCCGCTCCCGCCCCGCACCCGCGACGTGCAATACCGAACCCGCCCCGTTNAGGCGTTCTGGGGCAGCATAGACAGGTATTTTCTGTGTTAGTTACTTTGAGGGTTTGTGACTCTGCAGACCGTTTACATGCAGAAAAACCTTCATAACACACAAGGGGACGGGTAATAACCAGAAAAGCATAACATGGGCCCTTTTTAAAATATTAAAATGTGCTTAATTGAGAAAAAAAATCACTGTTAATCCGAAAGCTAATTGTTTACTTTGATTAGTACAACTTTACCTCTCTCTATCCCCTCCCTCTCTCGTGAGACCAGCCTTTAACTCCATGGTGATGTGTGTGTTATTACTCAGCTGCTTTAGTCACACCCACCTGCTCCCCCCC